CACTTTTCCAGAGTCCAGGACTCTCTTTGTCTAATCTGCATTTGTGTATGCATACATCAGGCAGTTCTGCAGCACTCACAGTGAAGGGTGTATCCAAAGCAAATCCAACAGAAACTGAATACACTGGGGGCAACCCAGCTTCCACACACAGGAATTTTGAAGCAAGCTTGTCAATGTGTACTTTCCCACAAAAAAGTGTGTCCTACAACTGGAAGATGCAGATGCTGTTTCCTCCTACTCTATGTCAAGGGCTTCTCATCTCTACAAAGATAAAAGGGCCTTTTTTGATCTGACCACATCACTGTTCTCCCTTGGACCAAACAAGAGCTCAGCATGGCCATTCACAATTGTTCCCTTACTCTACGATCCTGCTCTATCACCAGGAATAAGAAACAGGGCTCTTCACATGAAACTAAAATTGACAACCAATGACAAAATCTTACTGCTTTTTTAAGAGTGCCCTTTTCATTACTTTTTTACTTCACTGGAAAACAAAATACAAGTACTTATACAACACAGATTATGCACTGACACCTACTTTAGTCTCTGTTGAGCAACAAGAAAGTTGAAAAATGCACTCTCTTTGCTACTTATTCTACATCAATGAAAACTAAGATGGGTAATTGAAATTACTATCCATTTATCTTATTACTATTCATTTATTTTATTTTTCCTTATAACATCTGCTTTTCTTCACAAGTCCGTACTACACATCTGCATGTAAATCATTCTAACTTTTATAGCTTAAATTTCATCTATGTTTTGTCCCAAGCCATCGAATTCTAGATTATCCATGACATTAAAAAAGCCAAGAGAAACATCATGGATTCTTAAGCACTACACTCCTCAGATTTGTGAGAGGGGAAGAAAGGGGTGACCTCCTAGGATTTCCTGTGGATTCTATCATTTATTATAAAAGGATGAGGATAATGTTGACAACATGCCCTTCCTCTGGAGGAGACATTATAACTTGCTCTGAGAGGTACACAAGCCAGCAAGATCATAATTGGGCTCAGAAAAGAAAGTTCTGTTCTATGGAGAATTTCCCTCTGTGCTTTCTTGCCCTCTTCTGACATTTTCACCTCTTTAAAGGAGCATCAGAGGAGGGGAGCAGGGCTGACTAGTCACGTACACTCCTGCTTGCTGCTGCTCTAAACAACCTGACTATTCAAATTTACCCGAGACACTGTTATAAATATTATTTAGGCTATTTTTTTGAAGTAAAGCTGCAGTATCTGAAATTCCTTTATTCTCCCTTCCTGTCCTCAAAGCCAACCACAGAAGGATGTCACTCCCTAAAGCAGGGCTTCTCCCATGCCAACATGTTACCAAAACCCAATGGGACAGGAACTCACTTTCATCAAGACCACAAGAACACAGCAGTGCACAAATCTGGTGCAAGATCACTCCCCTCAGTCAGCAGCAAACAATGCAGCAGTGAATAACAAGCACACGATCTTTAGAAGAGGACACCTATTTTCCTGTTCATTCCTGCCTGAATGCTCAAATGAAATCCCTTATAAACTGGCTAGATGCATATTTCAGAGCTGTTAGTCCTGTCTGCTCAATTTCTTTTCCAATCAAGGCTGGTTTTCTCTCCTCTGATACTTACAAGTTTTTCTTGCATTTTCTCAGGAGTGTAAGACTTGCACTTTTGTGCTGCGATCCAATTGTAATATTACAGATGTAATTCCCAGATATGGAAATATTAAGAACTTAATTGCAGAGGTAGCTGAGCTAAATTGCACTAGCTGTACAATTTACAGAAACCTTTACTGCATGGAGCTGACATTTTCACAGGATCCCTAAGAGTTTATGTGTCTTATGACCAATGATTCTCAGAGAATGAGTATTTCCTCAGGCTCTTTTTTTTAATCCTGTCATTAATACCTACATTAAAGAAGACAATACAGAAGCAGAAACTAAAGCCCATGATGAACTTCATAAAGATGCTGAGTTCTTCCCCCTCTCAAACTCCTGATCTTTGAGTATCTGATTTTACAACTTCAACGTTTCACTAATTTTGTACATTTCTAGTTCTAGGATGCTATGATTCTTTTTGCTAGGGGAAAATACAGGAAGAAAACACAGCCATTTAGCTAGAGGGCTCTAAAAACTTCAGTGCAAAAGCAAGATTCCCAAAAGACTTTTTCATCATCCTTATTAACAGTGCAGCCTAACAGAGTTTGAACATTTTCATGGCTAGTGATGAAACACCACAAAACAATCAAAACTGTAACAAGGCTAACTGACTGTAAGATGGTCTGCTGTTGCAATGGATTACACCCTTTGGCCCCAACCTCAAGTTTAAAATGCTTTAGTTATCAATTACACAGAGATTTAATTATTTCAGTAGTCACTGAAGGCATGAGTTGACAATTCTGGAGAGCTATGTCCCCTGTTAAGTGCCACGAGCAGAGAAGCTGCAGCTGAACGTGCATTCCCTTGCCTCAGCGCATCCAAGACCTCCAGCAGCACCCACAGCTCAACTTCTTGAGCAACACCACCTGGAGCACCCACTGAATCCAGCCAGGTAAGAAGACCAAGATCCACACACTTGCACATGAAATAATGACCTGTCCCACACAAAGGTCATACACGCAAAGTCCTTTACACAGAAGAACACAGGAGGACAAGAGCCCAACAGCTACAATACTGCTTTCCTCATCCTGCCCAGGGGCTTTGCACGGACCGAAGAGCCAGTCCAACACCAAGGACACAAGGCAGCCTCCCAGCGCCAAGAACTTTTCTCCAAAAACATCACTTCGGTGATCATCCAGCTTAACAAATTTGATAGCAGATTTTAAACTTTTTTGTCAGATACACGGGATCTTTTATAATTATACAAATTAAATAAACACAATATATGAATGCACGATAGCCTTCTGCCTCCTGAGGACAGCAAAAACCAACCAGGTATGGACATGTAAAAATATGAACCTGTGAAAACCCAGGTCAAATTCCAAAACTGTCACTGTGAGTGAAACCCTGTCTCTCTTTGTCTCAGTATGCTCCTCCTAAGTATCTGCATCATAGCCTATTCATGTCACTGTTTATCATCTGTTGACAGTAGAGTCTCTTCAGGGTGGGGGCTGTTGCAACAATTCTAGGCACGTTTGTACAGCAATGTATAAAATGGTCACAGTCTCAGGTGGGACATTTATTTGCATTAGTGAAGTACCTCAGTAAAAGAGAAAGAAGAACGGAAACTACTGTTGAACTGTGTGGGTAATGCACATAAAGATGTTTTCTAGGCATTTACACAGGATATATGAATGTACTTTAAGACAAAAAAAGTTGTCTTAAGACAACTTGAGAGCCTTTCATTGAAAGATGAGGCATGTATCTTCAGGTTTAGAACCACCTTTGACTGATTCACAGTATTTGAGCTACTCACAACTTCTCACTGATTACAAAAATAAAATTTCCCCAGATATATAATGTCAGTTAACTCATAAGAACCCCACAAGAGCAGTCTGACAACCCACAAACACAAAGCAACAAAAATTTATTGATTCCAATTTTTTCTGTTAAAAATGTATCTTTTATAAAATTAAGTAAAATAAATCATACATGAAATATTACTGGCTAAAAGGGACAATCTATATGCACACAACTATTGGCTCCTCTGATAAATCTGTGCCTCTTTGGCAATTTACAGGCTTAGGAAGCAAGACTCTCTCATGACACACTCTCACTTGGCAAGTCAGCTTCTCTTTAAAGTTACTAGCACCCCCACAAACTTGCTGTCCTTTTGTCTTTTATTCTTCAAAGATACCTGTGCCCAAAACACAGAATCCAAAACAGAGGGTATAGGAAGAATTACCCATTCAAAAGAAAGAATTCCTCAGCAGTTTTACATTCTTGTAGACATGCACTGTCAATTTGTATTGCTCCCCGTGCTCTATGTCAGAATTAGTACAGACTGAGAGGTAAAGCTCACAGTAGTAAATCTAACTGTACGGTCTGCTCCCCAGGGTGGCTGCTCTTTCCTCGTCTGACTTCTTACCTGGCTGCAAAGTTACTGCACTTGAGCAACCACAGCTGTTATCACAATCACAGCAGGACTGGCAGTTAGGCATTTCAACATCACTATTAATTGAGCAACATGACATCCCTACAAAGCAAGCAGGATCACACTCCTTTCCTGATACAAAAGAAAAGCACAGATGGCTTATCCATGCCTTGTTCCTTACCTACCTAAGTGGGAGAGCCAAAATTAAAAGCTAGGAGTTCTTACGCTACTCCTCTGTTCTGATTACTATAGGCCAGAACAACTGATTCTGTACATCACTTGATTTTGAAAATGCAATAAATATTCTCCTCCCAAAATAAGATCATCTCCGATCTAATCATATCCCAATTAAATTCAGTGTGAGAATACTTATGTTGTGGGTTCTAAGCATTTATACAGATAGAGTGGATGTGATTTAACAGTCTTAACCTAAGCTATTCTTAGAACATCATCCAGTTCTTCTGCTGTCTGCAAATACTTATGACTGCATGTTCACGTGAAGTACTAGAAGGGGACAGTGAATTCTTTCTTATATTTCTACAATACCTGGCTCAGATCAGCAGCCCCCAAACAGGAGAGTGTAGGTCCAAAAATATCAGTATCCAGAAATACATACTAATCTCTTCTAGGTATGACTTTGCAGCCCATGCTTTTTTTTTTTTTTTTTTTTTTTTTTTTTTTTTTGAGGCATGGGTAGAGGGAAGCTGTACTAATTTTCTTGTGTTGGTCCTAGTTTGGCTCCTTAGCAGTCAGACATGGCACACTTTTGCTGCCTGATGACTATGCATTAATGACAGCTGGGATGTGGGCAGCATGCATTTACACATTTTATCTTTATGCTGAAATTCGGAGTTTTGCAGTACTCTTGACATCTGTCCATTGGGTTATTAAGTCCATGTCCTCTAAAAGTAATGGAACAAATTGCTGAGCACATCCCCCTATCATGTAAATGATGGCTCAGTTCCCATTATATACTGGCTCTTACCTGTCAAGAATTTCCAGTACTTCCTTAGTAGAAGCAAAGGCACGGTAGGTAGACAGAAATATACTGGTGTAGGTGAAATCATTATCCCCAAAAGCTGTCAGAAGGTTCTCCACAAGTTTCTCTAGAGTCCCAGCTTTTATTGTTCGGATTTTGCATGTTTCATACTGGCTGACAGTATGTTCTGGAGGTAACTCGTCCCCTTCAGCCTACAAAGTTGAAACAAAACAATCACAAAAATCAGACAGAAGCCAGATCCCTGACATAGCTTTCACAATGAAACAGAGATTAAATTCCATCTTTTCACATCAATACTCCATCTTTAGTTACTACCTGATTTTGTCACTTTTGGCTAAATGAACACCAAATGCCGTATCAAATAGCAGAGGTTTCCAGTAAGTTTATCTTGAAGATACTTCTACGCTCCACACAATCTTTTACAGTTCAACTGCTATTAAATTAGCTTATGATCCCATCATATGTTATCATCTAAAAGAAAATCCATTATCCCACAAATAATAATATTACTGGAAGGAACAATAGTGGTAACTCAGTGCCCCATTAACTTCTGAATAAACATGAAAACTGACCACAACTTTGGCATCAGCACTTGTGATTCCCTTTCTGAAAATACCAACTTTGGGTTGACACACAGAACCCAAGGTCATGAACACATCTGGATGTGAAACATTTCATGATACTTTTGCAAGGAGGGTGCCAGCATCATCTTGCAAACACCATTACAACATTTCCATTTTCTCTTACAGTTTTTGTTTGGCACAATATTTGTCAACAAATTTAGGGTTTGGTGTTGGGGGGAGGGGCTTAGACAGCATTTGGTTTTAATGCTTACAGACTGCTTTAAGTCTGAAATAACTAGAAACATTCCCTTCAATTCCGTCGTTATTTAGAGGATGGTTCAGAAAAT